AATGTATACTTGCGTAAAACCAAATCAACCAACAGACTATGGTCTCGCGATATCCGTACAAACAGTTGGGAGAAGTGCTGTTAGCCAGCACCACGCCCGGCTGCCTCTCTATCTATCCCTGGTGATGATATTTACACACCGTACCAGGTACTCAGTTACGACTGAATCGACCTAGGGCAGGCCCATGACTGGTTCAGAGAATCCACCACTGGCATTGTCCGTGAGCAGAAATCGAACTCGAGTCGCCGGATTTGTAGTGCAGTGCGCTAACCGTTGCGGCATAACTCACACACGCACGAGTGTACACACACACGCACTCGAGTGTACACACACACACACGAGTGTACACACACACACGAGTGTACACACACACACGCACGAGTGTACACACACACGCACTCGAGTGTACACACACACACACGAGTGTACACACACACACGAGTGTACACACACACACGCACGAGTGTACACACACACACGAGTGTACACACACACGAGTGTACACACACACACACACACGCACGAGTGTACACACACACACACGAGTGTACACACACACACGAGTGTACACACACACGAGTGTACACACACACACGAGTGTACACACACACGAGTGTACACACACACACGAGTGTACACACACGCACGTACGAGTGTACACACACACACGAGTGTACACACACACACACGAGTGTACACACACACGCACGAGTGTACACACACGCACTCGAGTACACAGACACGCACTCGAGTGTACACACACACACGAGTGTACACACACACACACGAGTGTACACACACACACGCACGAGTGTACACACACACACGCAGTCGAGTGTACACAGACACGCGACTGTACACACACACACACTTGCGCCATCATTTCACTCGTGGCCGCAACATCGGTAATTCACTCATGCAGAGGAACCGTTAATCACGGAGACAGGGGGACACCCTGTAGCCCATTAAGATTCTCGTTTCGGGGGGGGGGGGGGGGGGTTAGGAGCGAGCATCGGATGATATAGCGAGGAGGGTGAGGGTTGGGGTGGGGCGGGGAGGGGGTGGGTGACCCGCAGTGTCGGGTTGGATGCTCGAGTTACAGTGACAATCAAGGTGCAAGGCTCGCGGATAGGAGAGGAGGTGAGCCTCACTCGGAGCGGGATTTGTATCTCTGCGGAGCTGAGCATGCGTTGCCTGGCTCGCAATTAAACGGCGAGCATCGCAGCGGGGAGAACACCGCGCTGGGGAGCCCAGGTGTCCTCAGGTCGCCACGAGTCCCACGCGCGCTTCCCAAAAGTCCGACAAGAACGCGGCCTCGACTCACATCGCCGAGCTCACGTTCTTCGCTCGCAATCATTCACGCACGCCACGATGACTCGATTTGGGGCAGCTGCGGGTGGCGAGATGTTAACTACCTCGCCTGATATACAGGAGACTGAGGGTTCGATCCCGACCTCGACGCCTGCTGTATATTTGGAGGTTGCTTGTCTCTCTCCCCGTGGTCACGTGGATTTTTCTCCGGGTCCTCCGGTTTTCTCCTCCACATTTAGAATTGACGTGCGTTTTGAGTATTTGGCTGATATACATTTCCACGTGATAAGCCACTTCGTTGAGCTATCGTTTGGGCCAGGTCGCTTTTGAACAAGAACAATATAACTCAATGGGCCTTACCTGGTAAAATAAAACATTGTTGAGTAGTTAGTTTCATTTCCATCACCATTCACGGGATTCCTTGCTGACGTGTACGTCCATGTTAAAGCATTTTGTCACTCCACTACTGGATGAGCACCTCCCCACGCCGTGCAACTCGTGGGCGTATTTGTTCCGAGTTAACCACGCACGGGTTGGCGATGGAAGAGGGGAGAATGAACGTGGGGACATAGAGGTACAGTATAACAAGGGACATGCTTTACCCTCTGCTGACAAGTCTCGAGGAGCCACAGCCAAGCAGGAAGGGAGCCGCGGCCACGCCGTGAGCAGCTGGCGCTGCCAACATTTTCCCACGCTCTGCGGTCCTTCATCCATTAAGATGTTTCAGCCTGTTAATAAGTGTTTGCGTGTGGGGGGGGGGGGGGACCTGCGCGCGCCCGGTCACCCATCCAGGCGCTTTCCGCTCTCGACCCTGCTTTGCTGCCGAGATCTCACGACATTGGACGCATCCCTAGTGATTTATTTGTTTTGGTCAGAGGCTGAGTCGGTTACCTGATAAATGCGAACCGTCATGTTGATTTACGCCCGGAGGACTCGTGCAAGTCTGCCAAGAAGAAATGTACCGTTGTGAACAAGCAATAGAGCCTCGTGCATTTCAATGAAGCCGGGGGCCAAGTGACGACTTGCAGGTTTACCGGCCAGTTACTCTTTACTCTCGCAGATGCTAATTACACGGATTATAAAATAAACAATGTACACATCCCGTTTTTTGTTGGAATGCATAGAAATCAAATGTATGCTGGACATACAGGTTCGCTGGAACGGTGGAAACGTCGTTAGCACGCTCCGCTCTGAACCCGGCGACCCGAGTTCTATTCCGAGTTAAATCTAACCCCAGTCACGAGTGAAATCTTACCCGATATCAGCCTCTCCCCCCCCCCCCCTCTTCACTGTGGTGAAGTATGGTTACACGGCATAGAGGTCTTCAACTGTCAGTACGTTGACTGAGCATTTTTTAAAATCACTATTACTATACGATACATATTCATGTTTAATTCATGACTAATATATGCTTCGTAAGTTGCCCATTGGTCTGCCCGTCTATCGCAGAACCTTGATATGAAACCGCATACACTGACATACATACATTATTCATTCAATACACGGAACAATATAGACTCGTATAAGAAGAGGTTGGGGTTTTGGGTGGATGGAGTGGAGTGGAGATCTGGCAAGGTGAGGGGAGGGGAGGGGGGTGAGACACGCTGTGTGGAAATTTTCACCGTCAGGGGTGCGAGAACACCGCCAATAACACCACGCGCCCGCACAACACCACCCCGGACTCTGTCTCCGGCCTCGCGATGGATGAAGCGGTCTCCTCCGCGTTGCGCTCATCAGGAATCGGGAGTTTCCACTGCTCGGAGAAACTCGACGATGAATTGCCCCGTGGCTTCGGATCAAAGTCGCAGTGGGGTGGCGCTCTTCGTCCCACATCACGATACCTATTTAATCGACCTCTACTCGTACGCAGGTCGGGTTTTGAACTCGCGACCTTTTGAATGGGAGTGGCGCGCTCCACGCGGGTAGACACCGCACCCCCCCCCCCTCGACACTGATTAAGTCTCCTCTCTCTGGGTCTCTTGCGGGGGGGGGGCGGTGGGGGTAACACTGAGTTCGCGAGTCATGAGGGTATAAGTGACACTCTCAGTCCCCCCTCGCTCATAAATAACCCTGCAGGCCCCCCCCCCCATCGCCGCTCTCCCAGCCAACTCCCCTCGCATCCCCTTCACCTTTGTCCCAGAGCCATAGCGAAATGTGACTTCTGTTAATGTTTCATTAACGTTATCATTATTACTTTTTTTCGCTATAATAACCATTAGATTAATGATCACAGCCGCCACTATCGCGATGATTGTTGTTATTGATGCTGTGTGAAGTGCCCTGCTCCTGGGCTGCTATCGGCGCAATTACACTCCTCTCGCCCTCTCGCCAAAGAGAGCACGGAGAGGCCGTGCCGTCTGGTGTCGTGGTGACCTTGCGCAAGGGGGGGGGGGTGTCTATTGGCCGTGAGGATTCGGGTGTCGTGGGGGATGGCCGCGGGCCCTAAAAAGAGACCGCTTGGCCCTTTGTCCTGGCTAACCTGGCTGCGCTGGGCGCCAGATTGGCTGGCGGCGAGGCGCTTCCCTGCTCGTCCGTGTCCTTGCATCACTGGAGCAGGGAGACGAAAAATGCCAGTCCGTTGTTGCGCTACGCAAGAAATCTCCAGCTGGCGCAGTGACGACCTGTACAGCAGTGATTCCCGGCTGTCCCTTTGCTCCCCTCCCCTACCCCTCCCCTTTCGCCCCCACAGACACACACCATCTCTCTCTCTCCCTCCCTCTTCTCCCGTGATCTCTCCCCCTCTCCCCCTCCCTGTGCGCACCGCTCACGCAAGCCTCGACCGCGGGCGTCACATGGCAGTTGCCGCAGCTACGGATCTATTCGTGGCGTCCTGTGACGCGCCGCCGGAATTCCAGCCGTCCCCTAGCGCGCGTGTGACCGCATCATTCCTTCCAAACCCAAACTTAGCCCGCACGAGACGCGAGCGCTCCGGAGTGGGGGAGTTGCGAGGCTAAGTGCGGGCCGTGTGACTAGAGGTGGGGTAGGCGGGGGAGGAGGAGAGAGGAGGAAGGAGGAGGGAGCTGAGGCCGTGCTAAGTGCACGCATCGACGATCGATGGTTCATTCAGAGTGGGGCAGCGAGCCGATCTCCGCTCTCTTTCCCTTCTGCTACCTGAGTGCCGGGCAGCGCCGTGCCTCGACTCCCGCGACGGAGCTCGGAGCCGCCACGAACCCGCGCATGCAACTTGCGCTCCACGCCCCGCGCCAAGATAAACCATCGCAGTGCAGCGGCGTTCGCAAGCCATCGCCTGAGCCGGGAAAGTTTCTCAGCGGTTCACGCGTGTAACGGGCGCGCGCGCGCGTTCGTACGCAGCGCGCGGAGACCGTGAACGCGCGCGCAGTCCGTGAGTGCGTTTCGCGTTTTATATTGCTTTGCTACGCGAAGAGGGAACATTCACTCTCCAAGTCGCCCCTGCAGCTGCACCATCTGCACGAGCCGGTGGTCACTTAGACGAGCAAGAGGAGTACCCCCCGAGGGAGAGGGGACAGCGTGAGTGGAGACTTCGCGGCCTGTGCAACAGCCAGACAGAGGACTCGGCCGGCGCGCGCCACGAAGGCGCGTGGCCACTTGCAAGGAGCCGTGACTTCTAATCTGCCCATTCCTCTTGCAATGGAGGTGGGGGGCGGCGCTTGATTACTGATTAGACCGCCTTGGGGCCGGGTCGTTCCGGCTTTGGGCCCACGTATTTTGCGTTTCGGGGGAGGGTCAGTGGGTGGGGAGGAGGAGGGGATAGTTTCCCTGCTGGAGGCTTCAGTGCGCACACCTGTGCACACCTGTGCGCGCGCCTGTGTACACGTGAGCGCTTGTGCGCATGCCGCGTTACTCGGCGGACTTGGGTTTGGTCGTGTTCAGCACCCGACGCATCGCCATCAGCAGCAGCGGCGGCGGCGGCGTTGTGCTCCACACGCCGAGAGGGTGAGGGTCTGGGGGAGAGGAGATGCCCAGGGGGATGAGCGCCGCTCTCGACGTGGACTGCGAGGCAGACTGGACCGTGCAGCTGGTGAGTGGCAGCTCTCCCGTGACAACCTCACCGCTTCCGTAACAACAACAACAACCACACTGCCGTGACCATTGTACCGCTTCCCTGACAAGCAGGCTGTGTCTGTGACAACCACGTGGCTCCGCTGACATGCACCGTCCTTCCGTGACGATCACATCGTGTGCTTGACGATATCCAGATTTTGTGATTGACAATCGCACTACTCCCGTGACATCTGCCACGTGCAGACGATTGCGTGCACGCATTGCCGTCTGGACATACCGTCAATAAAACAAAAATAGTTGCAGGCTTTAACAGAAATCACGGAAGTGTCTTCCTGCTAAACCGCGTCCATGACCGCCGTTCCTCTCTGTTGGCGACTCCGAGCCGTTTGTGACAATTCCACATTCCCATGGCAGCGCGGCCTTTCGCACATGCACGCCGCTGCGATGCTACTCGGGACGAGACGCGAGATTTATCACCCGCCGAGCGAGGCCTCGTTGAGACGACACCTCTTTGGCGATGCACAATCGGAATATCATTAAAAATTGCGGGGCTATATTTTGCATGATGTAAAATCTATATTGGCCGGAGGCAAGCGGTATATTTTATTATTATTATCGCATGTTTATTTAATGAGAGAGCTGTATGCTGCATGCCGCGACGCAGTCGCTACCCTCGTGCGCGTGCACGGGACGCACCGCGTGGAACGTGCACGCGCGCATGCAACCGGCTCACACCGTACACCCCCCCTACCCTCCCCAACCCAGAGCCGTAAGTCAAATGCCAAGATTGTTAGAAACACATCACTTAGCGTTTTAACCTTGACATTCACCCCTCCCGTAATCTCCCCCCCCCCGACCCCTCATTGACACCCCCTCCCCCCACCACCTACGACAAAGCACATTTCCCTCTTTCCCCCGTGAGACGGCGGTCTTGCAAGAGGAGGGTGTGAGCTTGTTGGGTTGGGGAGCCTCAGGGCGGCCGCGCGGTCTTCTTTTTTTGCTCGGGCGAGCGTCGCCGCGTCTGGCGATGGAAACAAACAAAAGAATGACCCCCCCGAAACGACTCAAAAGTTACCCCGGTAGAGTGGACGCGTGATTGAGCGAGGGGGATATATTTGGGCGGTGTAAATTGGAGAGACAATCGCGGCTGTGAGCCAAAATTGACCCGACATGTTCCGTACAATGGCAAGTGTGGCGTGAAAACTTGCGGGAGGGAGGCAGGGAGGGAGGCAGGGCGTCCATGCGTAAATATTGGCCGAGCCGTGCCGTCTCACCCCGAAACCACAGAGCAAGAAAAATCCTGAAAACTCGAGTCATGTCCAATATTTGACCACGAACGATGACAGCCTCAGGTGAACTCTAGGCTCGGGGCAGCGAGCGCGTGGCAGTTCGAATCCAGGTAATTGAGTAACGGAGCAGGTAGTTGTGAAGTGCTGTTATGTGACTTGTGAAAGATGCTGAGCGATTATTACTGTTTGACTGCAGATGATGGCGATGATGCTGATTATGATGATGATTCTTATAATATGACGATGATTATGATATTGATGATAGACAAGCGACCAATACGCGGATCAAAAGTCACCTTTTTGGAAACATTGGTGCAGTGGTGTCGATTCCACATTGCAGTGGCGGGGCGAGTGGACGGTCTTTCCTGAATACGACCACGACGTCCAAACTCGAGGAAAGCTGTAGGCACCTGCACGCGTCCGTGCCATCGCGCTCTGACAGAGGCTGCCTGAGCGAGGTTCTCTTGGCGATGACTCACGACATCAGAAATAGCGCCACGTGACTCCACAGCACTTAGCAGAGGCTTAGAGAGTCTCGTGCCACGTGTATCGAGGTTAGGGGGAGGGGTTACTGTTCGTCGGGGGTGAGGGGTGGGGTTACGACGGAGGCGGGGGGTGGGGAGCAAAAGTCGTTCACTTCTAGGGGGAGGGGTATCTCTGCTGACCGGGGTGCGGGACAGAGGTCGCTGGCGTGGGTTCAGGGCTGCTGCAGTGTGGATTTCTGGTGCAACAGCGCATGTGATTATTCAATGGGGTCTCACCCTGGCCTGTCCAGATGCCCGCTATGTATAGCCCCGCTCGCATTCGCTGGCTGCAGTCGATTGTGTGACTCTGCTCCGACGGCAGCCACCCTTAACGATGCGATACTTTATTACGACCGGGGATCGCGATTCAAATCGTTCATCCTGTCTCTCTCGTTTGCGTATTTTGTTTCACGTCGGCTTGTTTCTACGGTTAACCTAAATGCATGAATCGTAAACGATGCATTCTCATTCGCACGATTCGGTGCATTTGCGTGGAGTGCGAGAGTCTCGATTAATCGACGACGCGCGTCAATGAATCTGCATCGGCGTCATCGTGACACGCCGATTGAGCGACAGGGGAGGGCACGCGGCGTGACCCGGGCCGGTCCCCGTGCAGCAGGGATCACGTGCACGCGAGGTGGTTTTTGATTGGCTAAGGCCAGACGGAGATCTCTGTGACGAAACACGCCGCTTGCAGCCAATCAATCTCATCATTAGCTGATAATCGATACCAATCGATCAATCATCGATGCACCGTTACGCTCCTGCTACTGCACGGGACCTAATGTTAATTTTCCCATTAGAGTGGCGACGTACGCAGAGAGAGATTTGCACGCAAATGAGCGTGGCGTCCGCGTGATTGAGTCGGGACCCAGTGATTAATGGGGGGGTGTTTCGCAACTTGCTTCATGAGCACTTTTTCTCCTTTCTATCCGCACTCCGTAACATCTCAGCGCGCGCCCGATCACAATCCCCACGTGTGTAATTGCGCTCTTCAAACAAAAAAAAAGTGCACAATTGCAAATAAAAAGGTTCTGCTGAAAACAAAAAGCAACGCAGCAGAAAAAGCCAACAACACACACACACCCAGAAATAATCATAGCCGTTAACTTAGCGGTGGCCAATGGAAATCGTTATGAATAATACTAATTAATAATGCTAATCACGCACAGCACTCAAACGTGGAGTGCCTTATGAAGGGCAATCAATGGTAGCGTGACCTTAGATTATTATATCTCCTGGCTGCTGCCACCACCCACCCACCACCCGTCACTCACCCACCCACCACCCACCCTGTCTGTCTGCCCCGCGCGTCCATCCTTTGTCTCTTGCCCCGTCTAAGTATTGTCACTGAGGTCGTCAGTCACTCGTGGTGGACATGTGTGCGAGGCCGTTACTCATTTGTTCTTTTTATTTATTTTATAAAAAGCATCGGCACCCCTGGCTGCCCCGCCGGTGCGCGGTGCCAACCTACGTGCCATCGTCGCCAGCTCCGGACGGCTTGGATTGCAAACGCACGGATGGTGTGGGGGGGGAGGGGGTGGGGGGGTGTTTGGGGGGGGGGGCACCGCGTGTGGTTGGCAGGGAGCGGGAGTTTCTTTCCGTGTCACTCGGCAGAGTCGATCGCGGGGCTGTTTCGCGAGCCACTTCTGCGTCTCGGGCCATATAAGGGTGGGAACAAATGCGAGAACTCGGGATGCGCGGGGCGAGCGGTTCTGCGCTACGCGAACTGAACACGCACGCATGCGCGTGCACACACGCACGCGCTTGTGCAAAGACAAAATACCCCCGGTGTAGCCTTTAACAGACGGTTGGGCAAAGTGCTGTTAGCGAGCACCTATGAAAGCCGCCGGCAGGGCACACCGAGGGGGTGGGTGGCCAGCACCACGCTCGACCGCCTTTGTGGTGATGTTTGGACATCGCACCAGCTACTCTGTCGAGGCTGAGTCGACCTAGGGGAGGCCCAGCAGTGGTTCAGATAATCGTCGCTGGTGTTGTTCGTGAGCTGGAATCGAACTCAGGTGGCCGAGTTCGCAGCGCATCGCGCTAACCACTGCGCCACCGCTTCTCACATTACAAAAACACATTCACACGCATGCACACACACGCACGCACTCGTGCTGCTGCTACTGTTGCTGATGTGAACCATGTGCCGCGACGCCCTGTATCCTTGGAGGATCGGCGTGCGCATGGATGGACGCGTCACTTCCCTCCGGGCGCAGAGACACATGCGAGCTCGAGTCCCTCCACTCTCGCCTCTCTCTCTCCCCAGCCTCTTCTCATGCCGCCATCCTCTCCCCAGCTCCCCCACCCTCCTCTCTCTCCTGCCCGCTCTCCACCGCTCTCCCCTCCCACCGCCGTGCATGGCTCGTTGTATGAGCCGTAAAGCGATGAGTTGCGGGGAAGGGAGGGGCTAGGAGAGGTGGAGGGGGGGCGGAGAGGGAGGGAGACGTTGCAAATACGGCTGCCCCGCACGGAAATGGTCACAGCTTTGATGTCCTCTTAAACTGGCATAAATAATTCCCACAGCTTATCAGAAACCATAGCCCTCTGCTTGGTTTGATGCCTCGGCTGTTGCATTTGATGCATCAGCATTTCGCAACAAAATAATGTAGACAATCACAGATACCAGGCATTTTAATTATCGCACAGTCTCTCGTAATGTCACACAGCGTGGAGTTTCAGTTATTATTATTATTATTATTATCATTATAGTCATCAGTTTTTACGCAAAAAAAACAACAACACAACAACGACAAAAAAACATTTCACTTCTCATCCGTGACGGCGCTTTGAGTGGTTTGCAGAGTTTCGGCCTCGCGGGAGACCCAGTCAGATCGGCTCATTTACAGCCACACGTCTCAAACTTTGATATCTTGAAGTCTTTATTTATTTTTTGTTTGTTATTGGATTGCAGCTCAGATATAAAATAAATAAAATAAAGCTCAAACCCCCGCCACCTAAATTGGAGGCAGCGCGCGCTCAGCACACCAGCTCGGCTGCACAGAAATCATTAAGCAATTTAGGCTCACGACAACAACATCAACAACAACAACAAACAAACAAGAGAAACGAGCTAACAAAACACAACACGAGCCAACAGGACATTACAAACAGCGCAACCACCCCCCAACCACTCGCAATTGAATTGTTGTCTGAAATGAAAATCTGCGTCTTGTAGCAGATGAAGGCGGCGCGATATG